TTCTCTTTATTAATGATTTTAGACAAAAAAAAAGTGGGTTTATTTTCTAAAATAAAAATTGGAGGTGTTTGATATTTTCAAAAAGTTTAAGGCTTTGATTAAAAAACAAAGTGGATATGAAATTAAGGCAATTAGATCCGATAGAGGAGGTGAATTCACTTCAAATGAATTCAAATATTTTTGTGACGAAAATTGAATTCGCCTTCCTCTAATAGTTCCAAGATCACCACAACAAAATAGTATTGCCGAAAGGAAGAACTGAATCATTCTTGACATGGCTAGGAGTATGTTGAAGAGTACGAAAATGCCCAAGGAGTTTTGGACGGAAGCTACTGATTGTGCTATCTACTTGTTAAATTGGTGTCTCACTAGAAGTGTTCAAGACAAAACACCACAAGAAGCATGGGGAGGAATCAAGTCAACTATTTCTCATTTGTGGGTCTTTGGAAGTCTATGCTATGTATATATGCTGGATGAGAAATGGACCAAACTAGATGAAACGAGCAAAAAATTTGTCTTCATTGGCTATGATTCAAGAAGCAAAGGCTACAAGCTTTACAACTCTAGTAATGAAAATATAATCATTAGTAGAGATGTTAAGTTTGATGAAGAAGATTAATGGGATTGAAACACTCCACAAGAAGACTATGATTTTTTCCATTCTTTAAACAAAAAGATGAGCCCAATGAATTAATGGAGCTTCCCATTTAGTCTCTTCCACCATCACTAGCATCATTAACCAATGTGAAAGCATCTCCATCATCATCCGAAGCAAGTTCATGTGAAGGGCCACCTCGCATGTGGAGTCTTTGAAATATTTATGAAGAAACCAAATAGGTAACTCAAAGATTTAGTGATCTAACACTCTTTCATCTATTTGCCGATTATGATCCCATAGGCTATGAGAAAGCAACACAAGACAAGAAATGGTGAAGTGCCATGGATGAAAAAATTGAAGCTATTAAAAGGAATGGAACATGGGAACTTGCCATACTCCCCAGAGGACAAAAGGTTATTGGAGTGAAATGGGTGTACAAGGCAAGGAAAAATGCCAAAGGTGAAGTGGAGTGGTACAAAACAAGATTGATTGCAAAAGGCTATAGTCAAAGACTGGGTATTGACTATGATTAGGTATTTGCACTCGTTGCTCATTTGAAAACAATTAGATTGATTATTTCTTTAGCCACTCTAAACGATTGAAGAATTCACCAAATGGAGGAGAAGTCCACCTTTTTTAATTGTTGTATATTGACCAACCATTGGGTCATATTGTGAAAGGGCAAGAAGAGAAAATATTGAAATTTAAGAAGGCTTTATATGGTTTGAAGCAAGTACCAAGGGCTTGGAATAGTAGACATGACAAGTATTTTCAAGCAAATTATTTTACCAGGTGTTCCTATGAACATGCTCTTTATAAAAAGGTGAATAATGATTGTGATATACTATGTACTTGTTTATATGTGGATGACTTGATCTTCATAGGAAATTGTCCAGGAATGTTTGAAAAAATCAAGAGAGCAATTGCAAAAGAATTTGAGATGACCGACATTGGGCTTATGTCATACTACCTTGGCATTGAAGTGAAGCAAATGAAGGAAGGTATTTTCATCTCCCAAGAAGGTTATGCTAAGGAAATTTTGAAAGTTTAAGATACAATATTGTAAGCCAGTAGGTACACTCATTGAATGTGGTGTAAATTTGTGAAAATATGAATGATGGAGAGCATGAGGATTCCACCCATTTCAAGAGCTTAGTTGAAAGCTTGAGGCACTTAACATGCACAAGACTAGATATTTTTTTTTGTGTTGGTCTTGTAAGTCGTTACATGGATGCTCCTACCATGACCTATTTGACGGCAACAAAAAGAATTCTTCGATATATCCAAGGGCGGAGCCAGAAAAAACAATTTAGGGTAAACACACTAGCATGATTTAATTTTTTTTAGGTAGACCGTAAAAGTTCATAAATTTATATTCATTAAAATTATATTTAATACTTTTTAAACATAGAAAATTAAAAATCGATATACATAACATGAACAAAACAATAATAATTAAAACTTCTTATCGAGAATGCGACTAATTATTATTACTTATAATTAACCCTAATATGTTTTTATTATTTGAAAGAGTTATAAATTAATTTTATCAATAATATTTCTTTTATATACAAAATCATGGTAACAATCTTCCATTTATAATCTTATAGTTTACTACATAATGACACATATTTTTATACAATAACGAAATAACCCTACAATTTAAAAAATTTATAAAATAATATCAATATTTTCAAAACATATTCGAACATGTCTAAAAGTTAACAATTATATTAGTTGTACTTAATTTGAGATTTAATTGATAGAGATCCAATGGTTTGTGACCATTAGATTAGATAGTAGAGTTTATTAAATATTAAAACTCATTATTATATTTAATATCACAATGTATTAGGTCCTTAAATTAGGTTTCAGTAATATTGTTCAATAAGTTAACAATCATTTAGGTAGGGGTCTATTCAAATCAATATCACCAGAACACAAATATTAGGATGGACACAATTAAATATGTCTAAATTTTATTTCAAAAAATATATGTTTAATATGCAGCAAAAAAAATTTGAGGGGGGGGGGGGCATGTGCCCACCCTAGCCCAAGGGTGGCTCTGCCCTTGGATATCAAAGGAACACTTGATTATGGATTATTATATTCTTGTTCTAACAATTCCAAGCTTGCGGCCTATTGTGATAGTGATTGGGCTAGAGATATAGATTATAGGAAATGTACTACTAGGTATATTTTATTCATGGGAGATACCGCATTTGCTTGGAGTTCAAAGAAGCAACCCATTGTTACTCTTTCGACTAGTGAAGTCAAAAAAATTTCAAGCCATTTGGCTTAGAAATTTGTTGAAGGAGAATTTAATTCCAAAATTTTGAATATTTTAGCTTCTTGTTGTATTGTCAAAATGTCCTCTTCTTTAGACAGTTCCATTACCATATATGTATGGGTCTACTAAACACCAACAACAATGATACCAACAAGACAAGCTTCTGAATGGATGGTTATCAATGGCATGCACAAAAGGGGGGGGTAATAGTATTGATAATGTATAGATCTTTGTGGTGATTAGAATCATACGAATTGGTCAAATAGACCTTAATTTTTGTTATGTTCAGCTGTTTATGGATTCTTATTATTTTCTGTTATAGATTGTAGTGGTTGTGGTTATGGTTATGGAGGGGCTTCTGCATTTGGTGAATTAAATTTTGATCCTTATTTGGCTACTTCACATAGTATTGCCAACTATTTACCTCAAAATCTCATCATTGAATCATTAGTCTGAGTGTGTTATATTGCATCTATAAGGTAGTTTAGAATGTATGGTTTTTGTGAATCATATTGCTCCTGTAAGGTATGGCCAATGGTTTTTTTGAGTAATTATTTTTTAGTGATGGGTTTGTGTTGGTGAGAAGGAAAAAAATTCTTTTGTGGCTATTGTATAACAAATTTTCGCAAGTGTGTTTTAAATATATTGTTTTTTGGAAATTCAAAGTTTTTATGTTATTTAAGATTGCATTGTTTTAATATGTTGGGAAAAGATTTAGGAGTTGTTTGTCAAGAGCAAAAGCTTTATGATTTGTATGTGGTGGATATTAATTTGGTACGACATTGGTTTAGCAAGCGAAAGGCAAAAAACTAAAACTAAAAAGATGAAGCCAATGAGTTAGTGTGTAAACTTTCAAACCAATCACCTCATCTTGGATTGGCTGCATTTTAACTTTGCATTGTTATTGTCTTTGTACATGATAAGTTTCATATGAAAAGTTTATAATGATGCACAAATTGGTATTGCACAGGATCAATAGTCAAGTACTTGTAAGGGTGGAATTAATGAACAATAAATAGGCAATTAATGGCAAAACAATTAATAGTAGCAAACACACAGATTTATAGTGGTTCAGTTTGAGTGACTTACTCCACTCTCGGGAACGGCAGCGGTGGCTGGAGATCTTTATTGATGAATAAAAGTCACCGAAAGAGTACACTTCAGGAGAGTTACAATGCTTTGGGAGAGATAAACTAGGGAGGTGCAGAGAGGTGTGTGAGAAGTAGATGTGTCTTGAGGTCTCAAGGTCATGCCTTCTATGTGGAGAAGACTTACATTATATAGGTATAGTGAGGCGGTCACTACTTTTTGGTAAGTAAAATTAAGGTAGGATTACATCTCCATGAATGCGTATTCTGATATTCTCTCCCATGTGCTCCTATCCTTTGAGTTTTCTAGATCCTAAGTTGGGTTGGACTGGCAAGGTGAGGAGGGATACCACTGAGGCAGTGCTGAGGAAGAGAGAGCGTGGAATGAAGGAGCACTAAGGGTCCACATAGGTGGCGCCAGCGGCCTAGGCGACCCCCTGGGGTGGTGCCAGGTGCTTTTGGGGGACTCCTTTGGGCGCTGGTGACTTGGGTCTCCCTTGGGCGTTGGTGACTTGGGCTTCTCTTGGTTTAATTTATTGGGCTTGGCCAAGTTGATTTCTGGCTCATCATTTGCCGCCAATACCCTAAGCCTCTGACTTTTGTAAGAGGAAGGGGTTAAGGGCATGTGTTTCTTCTTCACTTGAGCAGGAGTTTTCTTGCTCCCCACAGTACTTTTTTATCTTCTAGGACTTTGTTAAGTTTACTGGTATCAAAATTTTCTTTTTCGGCATTGCTCTTGTTGGGTCTTCATCTATAAATATAGGTCCCTGGTCTCTCCCTCCTCATTCCTCTTTTCATTTCTTATTTTTGGAGGCTTTTCTTAGAAGCTATCCCTCTAAGCTTCTCCAAGAAGCTATTCAATCAAGCTTCTTTAATAAGATGTTCAACAAGCTTATCTAAGAAGCTACTTCAGCAAGGCTTCCTCAAGAAGCCATTATTCCTCTATTTAAAGGCCTCTCCAAGTGGTTACTATTCCACACTCCAATTTCATTCCCTTTATCTACTCTTTTCTTGAATCATAAAGAACCCATGGAGACGGCACCTATGAGGTCGGCCTAGGCGACACCCAAGGGGCTGCTCTGGGCGGCACTGGTGATGAAGTGGGCAACGCCCTAAGAGGCAGCCATGGTATGGGCGGTGCCGAGAGTGTAACAGGCAGTGGAGCCATGGAGCGTGGTGCCTTTGTTAAGGAAGGGAGAGGCAACGGTAGACCACAAGGCATGGGAGAGCCCATAGGCGACGCCATGGATGCTACGGGCGGCGCCCAAATAGACAGCCAAGGTGTAGGGGATGCCTTGTCTTTCTTAGGCAGTGGGCCTACTAGGTCAAGTGGAGGCTTCGACTGTTTGGGCACCAGCTATGCTGGAGAGATTGGGCGAGATGAAGGGGTAGGAGAAACAAGGGGTCCAGTCCCCATGGACGGCGCTAGAGGCTTTGGCGACTCCCTCTCAAGCATAGTTTAAGCCTCCTTTCGTGAGGACAGTGATGGAAATATCGCTGAAGGTGCTGAGTTTCTTCCTCCAGACCATGGTGGTGACTCGGGTGCGATGGGCAACTCCAAGAAGCATGTAGACAAGTCTAGTGGCACCTTCGGTAGAGCGAGGAAGCAGCCAGGTAGTGACTTAAGCAAACCGAGCTCTCAAGGTATGTTGTCGAGAGCTCATATTTACTCCTTTGTGGGTATGAGCATTTTCTTTAGCAATGGTATAATTTTTTTTTCCTGGGTGTTCATTCAGGGGAGCGGGAGACTACTAGGGACTCTGAGGGAGGCCCGAATACTGATGGAGGCAACGACTCTAAGGTAGCCTCTATACTTAGCTCCCTTGATTGTGATGAAGATATTGTAGTCATACTTTCTTCATGTCGCATTCCTCCTTCCGTGATGTGCCAAGGCCTATGAGTTAGCATGTTACGATTCCTTCAGTGAGATTGTCATTTATGAGGGCATATTGGAGGCAAGCTTACAGTTTTTGATACTTGGGCCCATATGTTGGGTTCTAGGGCACCTGTCGTTGGTTCTCAAGAGATTGGCCCGAAATGGGTGGAGGTTGATACTAGCATTTTTTTACATTGTGGTGGTTAGTGCACAATGCCACTGTTCCTCCACCATTTGAGGAATTCTTGGCCATGTATGTGCTCTTGGAGAACCCAGTTCCTAACTAGGGGTAGTACCATTTTTCCCCAAGGTCGTGCAAATTCATTACTTGGCTTACATCAAATCTTCATGGTTGGAAGACTAAGTTCTTCTTTGCTGGATGCGAGTGGGCCTCCGAGTCTGATCGTGCCATGGTGCCCTTCAGATGGGATACTATACCCAAGACCAAGCTGGGTAAGAACTTTACCTTTAACTTTTGTTATAGTCATCATGTATTTGTTCTTATAGTACAACTGGTTTCCTGTAGCTTCGTCGACTCTATCCGTGGAGTAGGAGAGCAGGCTTTATATGGTTTGTGACCATCCATTCCAGGAGTTCTCCGACATCATGTTGGCGTCAGGTCATTCCACGGCTTCTCCGAGGCCGAGGAGGAAAGGTACTTGACTTTTCTAGTAGACTTTTTGTGGACACAAAATCATAGGCTTTTTAACTTATATTGATTTTGTTGGTGCCTCTATTGATAGATCGGTGGTGGAGGCGGCCTACGCTTCCAGGGCGATGTTTTCTCCTCCTCATTCAAAGAGGGCAAAGTCTGGTGCCCCTAGTACTCATCACTTGAGGATCCTAGGTCAGGATGGTCCTTGAGAGGCGGGGCTTGGTTCTACTCCTATTCATGTCTCCTCACCCCCTAACAATGGTCCTAGCGCTACTGCGGAGGCTGAGGCCTCGGTGCAATCACCTGATAGGGTGGAGGGTTCGCCTAGTTGCCCTGCTTTGAAAGGTGCTCCAGTTTCTATGTTGCAGGATGTGAAGCTTGCCAGGGAGAGGCTTTGGGGGTTTGTGACCTGTACTGAGATTGAGGAGGTTGGCTCTTGGGGTCTAGAAGGTGTTGTCGACGTTGTTGTGGAGGGCTTCGCTTTGGTATATCTGGCACTCTTCTTCAGTTTAGTTCCTGACTTTCCTTTATATTTTACTTTTGAATGCCTGCAGGTGGCTATTGCTTTGCCCTGCATGTTTATAAGCACACTGAAGATCATAGAGGCAATCGATGGCCAGGCAGCGAAGAGGCGGGCATATAAGGCTGTTGAAGAATAGTTAAGGCTTGAGCGGATGGCACGAGAAGATGTCGCAGAGATTTCATGGCAGGCACGAGAGGATGCCGCGAAGGAATTGGGGCTCAAGTGGTAGGCATGAGAGGATGCAGCAGAGTAATTGAGGCTAGCTCACAAGAGGGCTACCCATCTAGAGGCCGACCTATGAGTAGCACTTGAGAGAGCTACTAAGGAAGAGGCTCACTGTATGGAGATGGAGAAGATGAGGGATGCTACTAAGAGGGCCAAGGCAAGCGCCTTCATTGACGGCTACGAGGAGCTCAAGAGGAAGGCCTCAGCTGCATTCCCTACTTGTGACTTCTCTAGCTTTTAGCCTTATGAGGCCCTCGAGACTGATGAGGATGCGAGTGATGGGAGTGGGGGTAGTGAGTGTTGTTAGGGGGTGTCTTTGTATTCACGTTTTTTGTTGATAGGTCAAATTCTATCTTTTGTAAAGATTTCATGAACTTGAAAGAAATACAACTTTTGAAAAAATATTGAGAAATTTTATTTCATAGTTCAAAGTAAAAATTTTGAAGGAAATTGACCAAAATAAAAGGCAAATAGTCTAAAATAGTGACCACCAACTTATAACTCACTGCCCCCAGCTACTGATAATATTTTTTTACATACTCTGCATTCCATGGATAGGTCAGAACATTCCCTTCAAAATTCTGGATTCTGTAGGTGCTAGGTCTTACCGCCTCTATGACGGTGTAGGGTTCTTCCTAGTTGGGTCCTAGTTTTCCTTCTCAAGAGTCTTTCGTATACAGGATGACCTTTTTGAGGACTAGGTCCCCGGATAAGAAGGATCGAGGCTTCACCCTTGAGTTGTAGTACTTTGTCATGTGACGTTTGTACTCTGCATTCCTGAGTATGGCTATATCCTTCTCCTCCTCTACCAAGTCGAGGTTGATGCAAAGGCCTTCTTCATTACTGGTAGGGTCATGGTGTTGGACACTAAGGGAGTGTACCCCAATCTCAACAAGTATCACTGCCTCTGTCCTATAGGCTATGGAAAAAGGGGTCTCACCCATAAGACTCCTTGGCACCATCCGATAGGCCCATAGTACCCCTGGGAGTTCATCTACCCATCGTTTTTTTACACTCTCCAGTCTGGCTTTCAAATTTTGGAGTATGGTCCTGACGGTGACCTTTGCTTGCTCGTTTACCTATGGATGGGCGGGGCTAGAGTAGGGCTGCTTGATCTAGAGGTCTGCAAAGAAACTGTGGAGGAGTTTATTGTCAAACTACTTGGCATTGCCACTCACATAGCGTGAGCTATTTTGAAGTGACAGACTAGACTCCTTCATATGAATAGTTGATAGCGATGACTACGAACTTACACTTGCCTCAACTCACAAGGAAGGGACCTAGGATGTCAATCCCCCACATGGAGGCCATGGGCTTAGAATGGTGGTGAGCTCTTCAGGTGGCTATCTAAGCACAGTCGCAAAGAGTTGGCACTTGTCATATCTCTTGACAAAGTCGCGGGGTGTCTCTGATCATGGTAGGCCAATAGTATACTTACCTAATTGATTTGTGAGCCAGTGCACACCCTCCTAAGTGATTCTCATATATCCCCTCATGGATCTCTCTCATGGCATAATCGGCTTCCTCGAGGTTAAGACAACAAAGTAGTGATAGAGAATGTCTTTTCTTGTAAAGGGGTGTTTTGTAGGATGACATATCTGGATGCTCTCGTTCTCAAATTTTTGGCCTCTACTGGGTTGTCTGGGATGGTGCCCTCCTCTGGGTAAGCTTAGATGGGAGCCATCCAATTGGACTCTGAAGATGTATAGCAGACACCGTCTTCCCCTATCTTGGAGGTGCTAGTCTCAAATTGGTGACCTGTCAACATAGGGCCCATGAGTATGTTAGCAGATGTGAACTTGGTCAGGGCGTCTGCCATGGTGTTCTCCTCTCGAGGCACCTGGTTGTTTTGGAAGCTGGTGAACATTTTTGGTAGGGCCCGAACTACTGTGAGGTAATCTTGCATTCTTTCCTACTTGGCTTCAAAATCTACCTTTACCTGATTGACAATGAGCTGAGAGTCATTGTTGGCTGTCAGGTAGAGGGCCTCCATCTCCAATGTCAACCTTAAGCTTGACACGAGGACCTCATACTCAGCTTGATTATTTGATGTGACAAAATAGAGGGAGACTACGTACTTTAGTGGAGTGCCATGGGGGCAGATTAGTACTAGTCCAACGCTGCCGCCCTCATTGGTGGAGGACCCATTCACGTAAAGTCTCGAACCTATTATAGTAGGTAGTGGATAGGGAGTTAACTTTGTGGGCGATGGTGTCTATGATAAGGGGAGCTAAGATGGCGTCGAAGAGGTAGGAGGCTGCAGGCAACTGAGTGATGCCTAGAGAGAGAGAATAGTAGGATATGATGTAGGCAGAGAGAACAGTGCCCCAGTCAGGGTGGGTGGCACCCCAGGCATAGTGGGTTGCGCCCTAGGCATAGGGAGCGGTGCCCAAGACTAGGTGGGCAATTCCCTAAGCCAAGTGGCAGTGCCCTCGGCTATTCAAGTTGGGGGTCCTCCTCCGAGTCGTCATGTCCTCCAACCTTATGGTGGGTAGAGGCTACGTGTACTGAGTAGGTTGGCTCAGGGGCACTTGACGCTTCCTTCTGAGACTCCTATGGCGGTGTAGACTCGGCTACGAAGTCAGCAAGTACTTATATTTTGATGGCAGCCCTTGGCTCGTACTGCACATCGAATTCGCTCAACTCGACGGCCCATTAGAATAGTCGGCCAGAGACATCAGGCTTCCCCAAAATCCTCTTGAGAGGTTGATTTTTGACAACCATGATGGTGTGGCTCTGAAAGTAGTGGCATAGGAGCCTGACAATAGTGATAAGTGCACGAGTCAATTTTTCGAGTTCTAAATATCTTACCTCTGCCCCTCGATACGCCCTCCTTACATAGTATACAGGCTTCTGGATGCCTCTATCTTTCCCGATGAGGACGGAGCTCACAATGAAGCCTGGAGAGGTAAAGGTACATGGTTTCTCCTAGTGCAGCATGGGAGAGTAAAGGTGGTGTGGCGAGATACACCTTGAGTTTCTGGAAGGCGTCCTCTGCATTTGGGCCCCACTGGAAAGACCTGTAGAGGATTTTAAAGAAGGGTAGGCATTTATCTACTGATTGAGAGACAAACCTATTGAGGGCTGCTACCCTTTTGTTAAGGCGTTGGACCTCCTTTGTTGAGGCAACAGACTTCATCTCCAAGATGGATCTAATCTTGTCTAGGTTAGCCTCAATACCCCT